AGTTTATCCGAGACTAGGATTGCAATCCCTGCTTTTTTTTTTTTTTAGATCTTTTCTCCTTTCTCTTGTGTGCATTTAGTGTTATAAATTTTCCTCTACACATTCCTTTAAATGTTTCCCAGAGATTCAGGTATATTGTGTCTTCATTCTCATTGGTTTCAAAGAACATCTTTGTTTCTGTCTTCATTTCATTATTATTTTTTTTCCCATTTATTTATTTTATTGCATTTTACATTTTGGGGTACATGTGAAGAACATGCAAAATTGTTGCATAGGAACACACGTGGCAGTGTGATTTGCTGCCTCATTTCATTATTTATCTAGTAGTCATACAGGAGCAGGTTGTTGAGTTTCTATGTAGTTGTGCAGTTTTGAGTTAGTTTCGTAATCCTGAGTTCTAATTTGATTGCACTATGGGCTGAGAGATTGTTTTTTATTATTTCTCATCTTTTACATTTGCTGAGGAATGTTTTGCTTTCAATTATGTTGTCAATTTTGGTATAAGTGTGATGTGGTGCTAGGAGAAATGTATTTTCTGTTGATTTTGGGTGGAGAGCTATGTAGATGTCTATTAGGTCTGCTTTGTCCAGATCTGAGTCCAAGTCCTAAATATCCTTGTTAATTTTCTGTCTTGTTGATCTGTCTAATATTGACAGTGGGATGTTAAAGTCTCTCACTACTATTGTGTGGAAGTCCAAGTCTCTTTCTAGATCTCTAAGAACTTGCTTTATAAAGTGGGTACTCCTATATTTGGTGCATATAAATTTAGGCTAGCTAGATCTTGTTTTTGCATTGATTCTCTACTATTATGTAATGTCCTTCATTGTCTGGTTTGATCTTTGTTGGTTTAAAGTCCAGTTTATTAGAGACTAGGATTGCAATCCCTGCATTTTTTTTTCTTTCCATTTGCTTGGTAAATCTTCCTCCATCCATTTATTTTGAGCCTATGTGTGGCTTTGCAGGCGAGATGAGTGTCCTGAATACAGCACACCAAACAGTCTTGACTCTTTATCCAATTGGCCAGTCTGTGTCTTTTAATTGGGGCATTTACTCCATTTACATTTAAGGTTGATATTGTTATGTATGATTTTGATCCTGCCATTATGATGCTAGCTGGTTATTTTGCATGTTACTTGATGCAGTTTCTTTATAGCATCGATGGTCTTTACAATTTGGTATGTTTTTGCAGTGTCTAATACTGGCTGTTCCTTTCCATGTTTAGTGCTTCCTTTAGGAGTGCTTGTAAGGCAGGCCTGGTGGTGACAAAATCTCTCAGCACTTCCTTGTTCACAAAGGATTTTATTTCTCCTTTGTTTATAAAGCTTGGTTTGGCCGGATATGAAATTCTGGGTTGAGAATTCTTTTCTTCAATAATGTTGAATATGTGCCTAGGCATTGCTCTTCTCGAGGAGTGTCTTTGTGTTGTTCTTGGTAGTTCCTGAATTTGAATGTTGTCTTGCCTTGCTAGGTTGGGGAAATTCTCCTGGATCATATCCTGAAGAGTGTTTTCCAACTTGGTTTCATTCTCCCCATCACTTTGAGGTACACCAACAAATGTAGATTTGGTATTTTCACATAATCCCATGTTTCTTGGAGGCTTTGTTCATTTGTTTTCACTCTTTTTTCTCTAATCTTGTCTTCTGACTATATTTCATTGAGTTGATCTTCAATCTCTGATAGCCTTTCCTCCACTTGATCAATTCAGCTATTGAAACTTCTTGTGCTTCTTTTTCAGCTCCATCAGGCCATTTATGTTCTTCTCTAAACTGATTATGCTAGTTACCATTTTGTCTAACCTTTTTTTGCAAGGTTCTTAGTTTCTTTGCATTGGGTTACAATATGCTCCTGCAGCTCAGAGACGTTTGTTATTACCCACCTTTTGAAGCCTGCTTCTGTCAATTTGTCAAACTAATTCTTTATCCAGTTTTGTCCCCTTCTTTGTGAGGAGTTGTGTTCCCTTGGAGAAGAAGAAGCATTCTGGTTTTTGGATTTTTCTGACTTTTTGCACTGTTTTCTTCCTGTCTTAGTGGATTTACCTACCTTTAGTTTTTGAAGTTGGTGGCCTTTGAATGGGGTCTCTAAATGGACATCCTTTGTGTTGATGCTGAAACTGTTTCTTTCTGTTTGTTAGTTTTCTTCTAACAGGCCCCTCAGCTGCAGGTCTGCTAGTGTTTACTGGAGGTCTACTCCAGACCCTATTTGCCTGGGAATCACCAGCAGGGGCTACAGAACAGCAAAGTTTGCTTCATGTTCTTTCCTCTGGTCACTTTGTCCTAGATGGGGACCCACAAGTTTTCAGCCAGAGCTCTCCTGTATGAGGTTCTGTCAGCCCTTACTGGGAGGTGTCTCCTAGTAAGTATACAAAGGGTCAGCGAGCCACTTGAGCAGGCAGTTTGTCTTTTATCAGAGCTCAAACTCTGTGCTGGGAGATCTGCTCCTCTCTTCAGAGCTGTCAGGCAGAGATGTTTAACTCTGCTGGAGCTGTATCCACAACCGACGCTTTTCCTAGGCACTCTGTTCCAGGAAGTTGGGGCCTTTATTTATAAGTCCCTGATGGGCTGCTGTTTTTTTCTCCTTCCCACCAAGGATGGAATCTAGTGACACAGTCTGCCTGCAGAGGCCTTGCTGAGCTCCCATAGGCTCTTCCCAGTTCGTACTTCCTGGCAATTCTGTTTACACTGTGATGTTAAAACTGCCTACTTGAGTCTCAGCAATGATGGACGCCCTTCCCCCAAGTGAGCTCAAATGTCCCAGGTTGAGCTCAGACTTCTGTGCTGGCTGCAAGAATTTCAAGCCAGTGGATCTTAGCTTTTTGGTCTTCATAAGGGTGGGACTCATGGAGCCAGATCATTTGGCTCCCTGGCTTTAACCCCCTTTTTAGGGTAGTGAACGGATCTGCCTCTCTGGTGTTCCAGGTGTGACTAGGGTATGAAAAAAAAAAAAAAAAAAAACTACTGCAGCTAGTTCAGTGTCTTCCCAAACAGCAACTCAGTTTTGTGCTGAAAACCCAGGGCCCTGGTGTTGTAGGAACCAGAGGAAATCTCCTGGTCTGGGGGTTCTGAAGACCATGGGAAAAGCACTGTATCTGGGCTGAGTGCAGGGGACAGTCCCTAATTGCTTTCCTTGGCTAGGTGAGGGAGTTCTCCAGCCCCCTGTGCTTCCTGGATGAGGCAACACCCCAGGTTGATGGATTTTTATCCATTCTTCCATTTTGTACCTTCTAAGTGAAGCATATAGACAACTTACATTTAACTTTAGTATTGAGATGTGAGGTACTGTTCTATTCATCATGCTACTAGTTGCCTGAGTATCTTTTTTGTTCTTGTGTTATTGTTTTATAGGCCCTGCAAGACTTATGATTTAAGGAGGTTTTGTTTTGGTGTATTTTGAGGTTTTGTTTCAAGATTTAGAACTTCTTTTAGCATTTCTTGTAGTGCTGGTTTGGTAGTGGCAAATTCTGTCAGCATTTATTTGTCTGAGAAAGACTTAATCTCTTCTGTGTTAGTATGTTTTCACAGTGCTATAACGGACTAACTTAGACTGGCTAATTTATAAAAAAAAAAAGTGGTTTAATTGACTCAGTGTCAGATGGCTAAGGAGTCCTTATGAAACTTACAACTATGACAAGGTGAAGGAGAAGCAAGGCATGTCTTACATGGTGGCAGAAGAGAGAAAGCAATTGGAGAAGTGCTACACTTTTAAATCATCAGAAATTTTGAGAACTCACTATCATGAGAACATTATGGGGGAAATAGACTCCCATAATCTAATTACCTCCCACCAGATTTCTCCCGACACACAAGAATTACAGTACAACTTGAGATTTGGGTAGGGACATAGAGCTCGACTATATCATTATGCTATAGCTCGACTATATCATCAGACTATATCTGGACTTTTTCAAATCTCACGTTCTCACATTGAAAAATCAATTAAGAATTCCAAAGAGTTTGTCAAAGTTTTAACTCCTTCCAGCATTAACTTAAAATTTCAAGTTCAGTGTTTCATCTAAGACAAAACAAGTTCATTTTTTTTTATGAACTTGTAAAGTGGAAAAAAAAAAAAAAACAAGTCGGTTACTTCCAAGATACAATAGGGGTAGAGGCATTGAACAAATACTTCTATTCCAATAGGGAGATATTGGTCAAACAAAGGGGCTACAGCCCCATGCAAGTCAGAAATCCAGTAGGGCAGTCATTAAATGTTAAAGCTCCAAAATAATCTTTTGTGAGTGCATGTCTCACATCCAGGTCACACTGATGCAAGTGATGGGCTCCCAAGGCTTTGTGTGGCTCTCCCCCTGTGGCTCTGCTGTGTACAGCCCCCATGGCTGCTGTTACAGGCTGGCATTGAGTGCATGCAGCTTTTGTAGGTGCATGGTGCAAGCTGTCAGTGGATCTACCATTCTGGGGTCTGGAGGATGGTGTCCCTCTTCTCACAGCTCCACTACACACTGCCCTATTGGGAAATCTGTGTGGGGACTCCAATCCCACATTTCTTCTCTTGCACTGCCCAAGTAGAGGTTCTCCATGAGGGTGTCACCCCTGCAACAGACTTCGGCCTCGATAGGTGTTTTCATAAATCCTCAGAAATCTAGGTAAAGGCTTTCAAAGTCATGGCTTCTGTGAACCTACAGGCTCAACACCACATGGAAGCTGCCAAATCTTGGGGCTTGCACCCTCTGAAGTAATGGCCCTAGCTGTACCTTGGCCCCTTTTAGTCAGAGCTGGAACTGGAGCTGCTGGGATGCAGGGTACCATGTCCCAAGGCTGCACAGAGAAGCTGGACCCTAAGCCTGGCACACTAACCTATTTTTTTATCCTAGACCTCCTGGCCAGTGATTGGAGGGGCTGCCATGAAGGTCTCTGACAGACCCTGGAGACATTTTCTTCATTGTCTTGGCTATTAACATTTGGCTTCTCTTGTGCAATTTTCTGCAGCTGGCTTGAATTTCTTTCTAGAAAATGGGTTTTGCTTTTCTTTCTTTTTTTTTTTTTTTGTGCCTCCAAAGCCACAGGGGCTTCCTTTGATCAGAGAGACCATTAAAACAAATGCTCTTTTAAAATACAGCCATTGAAAAGATGACACATTAAGAAACATGTAAACACTGCAGCTGCTTAATTACAAGTTGCACTGCTTGATTTAGTACCTATGCACTCCCAGGTTTGGGGACCTTAAGAGAGAGGGACAGGAGCCTCCCCTCACTTTCACAGTTGGATAGAGAAGGCAAGAATGTGGGTAGAGTAAGAGAAAACAGAAGAGCTGGCTCATGCACAGCGCCTGAGAGAATCAAAGCAAAATCTATCTTCTAGTTCTCCCAGAAGAAAGGTTTAAGATGTTAGGAAGGTTGGAAAATGAACATATGTTGTCAGGTGGGAGGCAAAGGAACTGACAAATGCTTCTAGTTATCTAGTTAGAATGCCAACTAGAAAAAGGAGGCATCCAGAGCTTGACCTCATGCTCTGAAAAGGCAAGGAACCCAGAACCTGCCTCCCTCATCCACTTAAGCCCCAACCTTGATCATCAAGGGCAGTGCATGGGTGATCCTGTTCCCATGAGGATTGTGTGTCGCACCTGAACACAGGACCCTGCATGGAGGAAACAACCTTACCTTCCTTGGTTTTGCTGCCCCTAGTCACCCAGGCTACCCCAAATGCCTCTCCCTCCAGTCTCAGTTCTGATCCATGAGCCCTGCCAAAGGCCTGAGACTGCACTGATCTTAGGAAAACAGGAGTCTGTCTTTCCCACACTAACTGAAAGGCAACACAGGAACCAACCCCTTAACTTTCCAAATTACTGAGAACTCAGACCGCCAAATACTCTACTTGTTGGCCAGTGAGGCCTGCTTGGTCTTTCTATAAAGGGGAGGGAAGCCAATAGGAGAGTAATGCCTGTCACTTCCAGGAGAGGCAGAAAAAGGACAGTAAACAACTTAGGCCCCAGAGCACAGCCATAGAGGGAGAAGTGCCTTCCTTCCTCTCCAGCATAACAAGAATATTCTCAAGAATTTTTGTATATGTGTATTTTAATACCAATCGTCCTAAACTTGGGTCAATCAACTGGTGAAGATGACATTATTTGGCAACCAGAATGATTCAGAAGTGTGGCAGCAGTCTACTGCAGAAGGCCTGGTCTCCCCTGCATAACCTGTAGGAAGAAAGGTAAAGGGGCTTGGGCATTAGTAAGGACAGCCTTGCTAAGGGTTCAAAACTAAGCCCCAATTCCCAGAAATGAAATGGAGGGCGAGGAGAGATGAGGGTCCACTATCAGGAAGGTGGAGGGATCAAGGCCCCTTTCTGGGATTGCTTCTAAAGGGAAACAGGCCCTCTTGCTAAGGGCTTATTGGGACACATGGAGCAATACCTAGAACAGCCCAGACCTGGGGGTTACAAAGTGGAGCCATGTGAAGGCAGGCAGTTGCCATGCTCTGATCTTTCTTGGTTGACTGGGCTCAGCTTCCTGGGTTCAACACTGCCACCATCCATGCATGACACTGACCCCAGGGCTTCTCTGTGCCCAAGGCCATTCCACAGGCTTCTGTTTCAGGACATTACTGACAATCCAGAGAGGATGGAGAAGGGAGGTACTTGGGTCCCAGCAGTGAGGGGCCAGAAGGAGGTGGCCTGTGGGAACTTGAGATCATGACATCCAAGATTCCCAAAGAGGTAGCTTCCCAATCATGAGTCTTCCCCCTGCCATTTAGTGGGGGCTGGCCCCACTCCTGCCACTACCTCAGGGACAATAGAGAGGAGTACAAGACATGATCACCCAGGGCCCTATTGGCAGCTCAGAATCCTAGGGACATGCTCAGATCCTGTATCAGGAAGCTTGGAGAGCCAGGAGCCAAGGATGTGTGCTCTCTACTCTCCCTCCTGTAAGACACAAGGCAGCCCTGTGAGGAAGGCCTTGACAGAAGGCTCATGTTCTACAGATAGGCTGACTTCCAGGATGCTACCTCTCCTATCCCACATCGGCCGCAGAATCCCAAGGAGAGACTGCTTCCCACCCCAAGTCCCTTGGGTTCTCCGGAGAAAATAATTTAAGTCAAAAACATGATTTGTTTTCAGGTTGCAAGTAACAGGTCAACTGAGCCTCACAAGGTCCACTCCCACCACCAGACGCTGGTGTTGGTAGATGGGGGTGCTGGGTGGACGCCCAGCAGCTTCTTGGCCCTGGGGACCTACTGCCTGCAGCTGTTGTCAGATAGCTGGCTGGGGTTCCACACCTCACCCAGGGAGGTGGTGCCCTCGAAGCGCTGTGAGGCGATGGTCGCCTGGTGGGACATGCTCTTCCGTACGATGTCACCCTTCCGCCACAACACCACTTCCTGCTGCTTGAAGTAGCCCCGCTCCTCGTCTATCAGCACCAGGTTGAGGCAATAGCACACAGAGAACTTCTTGTTGATGTCCCGTATGGTGGGCGTGAGCTCCTACCCTGCCAGGAAGAGCCGGATCTGGATGGACTCTCCTCTCACTGGTGCCCCATCCTTGATCTCATACTTGGCTATTGTGTCCTTCTTGTGATACACGTTGGGGCCTGTACCCATCATTTCCCGCTTGATGATGTCTATCTCCATGTGCTTGATTTTGATTCTCACCAGCATAAAGTATATCTTCCCTACAATGACATCTTTCAAGTGGTATTTGGATTTATTATACTCAAATTCAATGTGCAGACAGTCCTCAGTGCTAACCTCCATCTTGATGGAAGAGTTCAGCTCTGGGTATTGGCTGAGTGTGTGAACTACAATGTCCACCTCTCTGACAACGTCATTGAGGCGGCGGCTGATGGTAACTCGAAGGAAATAGCGATCTGCCCGATGAACTCTATCTTGATGCCCTCGTGCTCCAGTCGCTTATTGGAGTTCTTGAGCACAAGGTTCACCTTCCCTGAGACCGTCTCTCCGTCGTAGAAGAGGAAATATTTCTCCTTCTTCCCACCCTCCATCTTGTGCTTGGCCCGCTGCCTACTCTCCACATCCTTCAGAAGGATTTCCACCTCTATGCTCTGCCCAAAGCCAAAGCAGCTTATCGCACCGCGGGACAGGGCACCTCTCGGTAAGGACCGCTCCCTTGCACCGGGGCACGGGCTGCCCTAAGGAGGGAAAGCCAGAGGGCCCGAAGCGTGAGCACACTTGGCCGCTGCGCACTGCCCAGCTCCGCCGCTGCCACGGGGCAGTGGGCGCTGACGGACAGCCGGCTCCACGCGGGAGGGGCACGGCCAGAGGCGGGCGGCTGTGGGCTACAGCGTGGAGGAGCAATGCACCGGGGAGCAGTGCCCTACGCCGAGCCAGTCCCAGCCAGTCCAGCGGCTGGTGACAGTAAGCGGGTGAGGGTCAGCGATGCAATTCTGTTGAGGGCAGCCACACCGGGCCAGGTGTGCGTGGCATACGCCTGCCAGGTAGGGTCCAGCGCCGAGCAGCGCTGCGACCTGCCCAGCCTCCGGCAGTGCAACACACCCTGGGTTTTTCTTTTCTACCATAAAGTCAGGCTGCAAATTTTTTAAAACTGTTACCCTCAACTTCCCTTTTAAACATAAGTTCCAGTTTCAAACAATTTCTTTGTTAATGCATATGACTGTACACTGTTAGGAGCAGCCAGGCAACATTTTGAATGCTTTGTTGCTTAGAAATTTTTTATACCAGATGCCCTAAATAACTTTTTTTTTTAAGAAAGAAAGAAAGGAAGAAATGAAGGAAGGAAAGAAAGAAAGGAGAAAGAAAGAGAGAGAGAGAGAGAGAGAGAGAAAGTGAGAAAGAGAGAAACAAAAGAAAGAAAGAGAGAAAGAGGGAGAGAGAGAGGGAGAGAGAATGGAAGTCTTGCTCTTTTGCCCAGGCTGTAATGCAGTGATGTAATCATAGCTCAGTGCAGCCTCAAACTCCTCACCTCAAGCCACCCTTCCACCTCAGACTACCCTACCAAGTATCTGAGACTACAGGCATGCACCTCGGTGCCAGACTAATCTAAAATAAAAATTTAACTTTCTTTTTTTTTTTCGAAAATTGTTTTCTAAAGTGACTATCTTGTTTTGTATTTCCACCAGAAACATATGAGTTTTGCTCCAGTTTTTCCATATATTCACCAGCATGTTGTATTATCAGTTGTTTTATTTTAGCAATTCTGAAAGGCGTATAGTAGTGTCTTAATTTGATTTTATTTTGCACTTCCCTAATGAGCTATGATGCTATCTTTTTTTTGTGATTATTTTAATTTAATATAAATTAAATTAAACATTTAATTTCTCAGTTGCACTAATCACGTTTTAGAGGCTCAAAGGTCATGTGTAGTTAATGGCTATCTTATTGGATGGCACAGATTATCAAACATTTCCTTTATTGCATAAACTTCTGCTAGACAATAGGATGCCTAGCTAAAGTCATGAGCTCGTCCACATCAGAATTCATGGCTAATCTTCAGTAGGAATAGAGCAACTTTATAAGACTATAACATTTAGTCCTAAAGCATTCAAAGTCCAGTTTTCACATTCCATGTTACAGTTACAAATTTCTCTAGTTTTGATTTAAAAATTACCTGACCATATTTGCTATCTCCCCAACTAAGCTAGAAGCCTTTTAAGAATGGAGGCACTTTTTATCCAATTTGTCAGTCTGTGTCTTTTGATTGGGGCATTTAGTCCATTTACATTTAGGGTTAATATTGTTATGTGTGTATTTGATACTGCCATTTAAAGCTAGCTGGCTGTTTTGCCCATTAGTTGATGCAGATTCTTCATTATGTTGATGCTGTTTACCTTTTGGTATGTTTTTAGAGTGGGTGGTACTGTTTGTTCCTTTCTATGTGTAGTGCTTCTTTCAGGAACTCTTGTAAAGCAGGCCTGGTGGTGATGAAATCTCTGAGTACTTGCTTGTTCACAAAGGATTTTATTTTTCCTTCACTTATGAAGCTTAGTTTGGCTGGATATGAAATTCTGGGTTGAAAGTTCTTTTCTTTAAGGATGTTGAATATTGGCCCCCACTCTCTTCTGGCTTGTAGGGCTTCTGCTGAGAGATCTGCTGTGAGTCTGATGGGCTTCCCTTTGTGGGTAACCAGACCTTTCTCTCTGGCTGCCCTTAGCATTTTCTCCTTCATTTCAACCCTGGTGAATCTGACGATTGTGTGCCTTGGGGTTGCTCTTCTTGAGGAATATCTTTGTGGTGTTCTCTGTATTTCCTGTACTTGAATATTGGCCTGCATTGCTAGGTTGAGGAAGTTTCCCTGGATAATATCCTGAAGAATATTTTCCAGCTTGGATTCATTCTCTTCGTCAGATTCAGGTACACCTATCAAACGTAGATTAGGTCTTTTGACATAGTATCACATTTCTTGGAGACTTTGTTCATTCCTTTTTACCCTTTTTTCTCTAATCTTGCCTTTTTGTTTTATTTCATTGAGTTGATCTTTAACCTCTGATATCCTTTCTTCTGCTTGGTTAATTTGACTGTTAAAACTTGTGCATGCTTTGGGAAGTTCTCGTGTTGTTTTTCAGCTCGATCAATTCATTTATATTCCTCTCTAAGTTGTCTATTCTCATTAGCACTTTTTCCAATCTTTTTTCAAGGTTCTTAGTTTCTTTGCATTGGGTTAAAACATGTTCTTTTAGCTCACAGAACTTTCTTATTAACCACCTTCTGAAGCCTGATTCTGTCAATTCATCACACTCATTCTCCATCAGGCCTATTCCCTTGCTGATGAGGAGTTGTGATCCCTTGTAGGAGGAGAGGTATTCTGGTTTCCAGTGTTTTTGGCCTTTTTGCACAGGTTTCTTCCCATCTTTGTGTATTTATCCACCTGTCGTCTTTGTAGTTGCAAACTTTCAGTTTGGGTCTCTGAGTGGACGTCCAGTTTGTTAATAATGAAGTTATTTCTGTTTCTTAGTTTTCCTTCTAACAGTCTGGCCCCTCTGCTGTAGGACTGCTGAGGCCCACTCCAGGCCCTGCCTGCCTGGGGATCACCTGCAGCCACTGCAGAACAGTAAGAGTTGCTACCAGTTTCTTATTCTGCTATCTTTGTCCCAGAAGGATATCGGCCAAATGTCGGTCTGAGCTCTCCTTTATGAGGTGACTTTTTGGGTATACATGGGTCAGGGAGCTCCTTGAGGAGACAGTCTGTCCTTTATAGGAGCTCAAGTGCTGGGCTCTGGGTTCCATTGTTCATTCAGAGCTGCTGTGTGATTTCCTGTGCAATGACCCACTGAACCAGCTGAAACAGTGGTGCTGAGATTTGTGGCACTTTTTTGCCTGGGAATCTCCTGGCCTGGCTAGCTGTTTCAGTCCCCTTTTTAATCAGCTGAATAGGCTACTCTGCTTTCCCAGAGCTCCATTCACCAGCTAAAAGAGCACCCAGTTCCATGTATTTTGTATTGAGAACTGCCATGCCGGGGCACCAGCAAAACAGCCGCGCCAACCAAAAGAGTTGCTCTGGTGACCCGTGAGGCTCCTCCGACTGGGAATCTCCTGGTCTGTGGGCAACAAATATCCATCTGGAAATGTGGCATTCACTCACTCTCTGCGCTTTCACTGGGAGCTGCAACCCTGAGCTGCTCCTAATCGGCCATCTTGAATCTCTCTCCCAATAACTTCTTTCAAGTTCAAAGTTTCACAGATATTTGGGGAAGGGGCACAATGCCATTAGTCTTTTTCATAACAAGAGTGACCTTTGCTTCAGTTTCCAGTGAGTTTCTATCTTTATTTGATACCGTTTCAGCATGGACTTCATCATTTATATCATTATCAGCATTTTGGTCACAACCATTCAATATGTCTCTAGGAAGTTTCAAACTTTTCCACATGTTCCTGTCTTTTTCTGAGCATTTCAAACTGTTCCATCCTCTCCCTGTTACCCAGTTCCAAAGTAGCTTCCACATTTTCAGGTATCTTTATAGCAGTGCTCCACTCTCTTGGTACAAAATTCCTGTATCAGTCAATTTTTACACTGCTATAAAGAACTACCTGAGAGTGGGTAATTTATAAAGAAAAGAGGTTTAATTGATTCACAGTTCTGCATGCCTGAGGAGGCCTCAGATATCTGACAATCATGGCAGAAGGTGAAATGTAAGCAATGTATATGTTACATGACAGAATAAGAGAGAGCATGATTTGGGGATGTGCTACAATTTTAAACCATCAGATTTTGTGAGAACTCACTCATTATCAGAAGAACAGCATGGGGGAAGTCTGCTTTCTTGATTTAATAACCTCCTACCTGGTCCCTCCCTTGATTTGTGGAGATTATAACTCGACATGACATTTGAATGGAGATGCAGAGCCAAACCATACTACCTTCACTTATGAAACTTAGTTTTGCTTGATTTAAAATTTTTGGCTGATAATTACTTTGTTTAAGAAAGCTACAGATAGGACTCCATTCCTTTCTGGCTTGAAGCGTTTCTGCTGACAAATCTGCAGTTAACCTGATAGCATTTCCTTTATAGGTTACCTGATGCTTTTGTCTCACAGCTCTTAAGATTCTTTTCTTCATCTTGACATTAGTTAACCTGATGACTATATTCGTAGGGATGATCTTTTTGCAATAAATTTTTCAGGTGTTCTTTGGGCTTCTTGTATTTGGATATCTAAATCTCTAGTAAGATGAAGGAAGTTTTCCTCAATTATTCCCTGAAATAAGTTTTCCAAACTTTTAGATTTCTTTTCTTTCTCAAGAACAACAATTATTTTTATGTTTGATCATTTAACATAATCCCAAATTTCTTGGAGATTTTATTCATTTTTATTTTTTTCTTTGTATTTGATAGGTTAGGTTAATTCAAAAGCCCTTTCTTTGATCTGTGAAGTTCTTTCTTCTACTTGTTCAATTCTATTATTTAACCTTTCAGTGTATTTTCCATTTCTCTTTGTCTTTCATTTCCAGAAGTTATGATTATCTTTGCTTTATGATATCTGATTCTCTGGAGGCTTTAAAATCCATATCCCATATTGCTTTTTAAATTTCTTTAAGTTGGTTTTCACCTTTCTCTGATGCCTCCTTGAGTAGCTTAATAATCAATCTTCTGAATTCTTTGGCTATTCAGATATTCTTTTCCTTGTTTGGGAGCTATTACTAGAGAGCTAGTGTGATCTTTTGATGTTGTTATAGAACCTAGTTTTGTCATACAACCAGAATTACTTTTCTGGCTTCTTCTTATTTTGGTAGACTGTTTCAGTTGAAAGATCTGGAACTCAAGGGATGCTGTTCAGATTTTCTTGTCCCATGGGGTGATCCTTTGATGTGGTGCTCTCCCCCTTACCCTAGGGATGGGACTTCCTCAGAGCCAGACTACAGTAATTGTGATTTCCCTCCTGGATTTAGTCACCCAGCAGGGCTACCTGGTTCTTGGCTGATGCAGAGAAATGTCTGCAAAGAGTCTTGTGATGTGCCCCATCTTCAGTTTCCCAGCTGAGGATACGAGCACCTGCTCGAGTGCTGGAGTATTAGCTCAGGAGTGTAGTGGACTCTGTGGGAGTCCTTAGTTGTAGGTTTTTTGTT